CTTGCCGCTCCGGCCCCCTCCGGCTCCCACGCACCACCCCACGGTGATCGTGCCGGCGCCCCCTCCCCCTCCCCCCCACCATATCAACGTTGTCACCATGGGCCCCTCCTCAGTCATCAACTCTGTTTCTACATCTCGGCAAAATCTGGACACCATTGTGCAGGTACCTGGCTCAGGGAAGGGACATTCCCTGGGGGTCCACCTCTGGGAATAGGGGAGACGAGAAAATGAGGGGCAGGAGAGGTGCAAACGGGGCTGGAGTTGGAAGGAGTGAGGCTCTGGAAGTGAGTCCGTGTGGGTTGTGGGGAAGCTGGCCTGGAAGACTGTTTCTTCCTCTGATGTGGAGTTTGCTCCCAGAGACCCCCATTCAGCTTTCGGGATGGTCCACAAGTGTTTGTCCCCTCCATCTCCCAGGACCTGGGATGAGGGTGGACATGGCAGTGACTGGATGGGTGATGGTTACACCTCTCGTGGGGAGAGAAGAAACCAAATTGCCAGTTTGTGGGTCAAGCCTGAAGTCATAGCTGTGTCCAGCCTTAGGCAAGGCTCTTCGGGAGACCAGTAACATTAAAAATAAATAATAAATAAACCAAAGAAACCAAAATGGGAATAAAACATCACCCAACTTAAGTTTAAGTTGCACATAAACCCAGCAAAGTGACAGATGCACGAACAGTGGCCCTTCCTAAGCTAACATGGACTGCGGGGTACATAGGTACTTCTGAGATGCCTGGGCCCTCGCACTAGGACCTGGTCTTCCTGAGAGCTTTTCAGCTTGACAGAGGAGGTGCCTTTCTTTTTATAGGTGCCAGAGGGAGAACGGGGGGGAGGAGAGAGAGCACCTCCAGTGGGGCATTTTGGACATACACACAGCCTGGGATGATTTTCAAGCCACCAGCTAGGATATGAACCATGGTCGGCCATGAGGGACCCAGCTCCCTATGCACAGGGCTTAACTGCTGTGCTGTGGGGCTGGCCCCAACAGAGGGATTTTCTGAAGTGTGTTTCCCTGGGCTCCCCAGCTGCTTTGCCAGACTTGTTTCTGGACATTTCTGGGGTCTGAGTTTGAGGAGAGGTTGTGGCTGGCTGGGGGGCCCCCACTGTCTCCTGGCTAGCACGTCCCTGGCCGAGCCTCAGTGTCCTGTCCCTGCCTAGGCAATCCAGCACATCGAGGGCACACAGGAGAAGCAGGAGCTGGAGGAGGAGCAGCGGCGAGCGGTCATCGTGAAGCCTGTGCGCAGCTGCCTGGAGGCTCACACCTCGGACACCGCCTCTGACTCAGAGGCCTCAGACAGTGACGCCATGGACCAGAGCCGGGAGGAGCCGGCGGGTGATGGGGAACTTCCCTGACCACCCCCCAGCCCTCCTCTCCCTTCTGGGGGATAGAGGGGGCCGGGGCAGCCACAGGGAGAAACGTAGGCGAATGAGTGAGAAATTTTTACAAAATTACAATGTCATTTGGGTCTCTTTTATGACCTCTTTTTCAATACTGTAAATCGACCTTTGAACGAAGCCACCCAACCCAAGGTCCCGGGGCTGGGCTGGCACAGAGTGTGGGAGCTTCGGGACCCAGGGCTGGGCCTCGGCCCCAGGGCTGGGGGAGCTGACACTGAGGTGCCTGGCCTCTCTGCCAAAAAGCATTGTTTTGTTTAAACATGTTTTTAAGAACAGGGAAAATCATACAAAATCCCAAGGTATTTCTTTCCTCCTGAGAGCCGGCCCTCCGATGGTCAGTCTGCTCCCCCCTCCTCTTCTCGGTTTTTCTTTTTCCTCCTTTAAGCACTTACATGGGTTGGGGTCAGGCTGGGTGAGGCTCCCCGGGGACGGGGGTCCACTGCTTCTGGCTGGGGTTTGCTGCTGCCCTCCCCTCCCCCACCATCTCAGCACTAGGATTGGCCGTTCGCCACCTCCACCCAGCTCCTCTCCCCCAGGCTTTCCCATCTTTGACCCCAAAAACGTCTTTGTCGCTCTCTTTTTGTTTCGTTTGTTGTTGGTTATTTTGGTTTTGGTTTTGTTTTTGTTTTTTTACAATTTTGAGGTCTTTGTGTTTAAGGAGAAACTATTATATTTTGTTAAGAAAGGGGGGGGGGACCAAGAGGCCATTGTGCCTTTGTAAAGAAACAAAATAAAGTTTGTACTTTGTTTTTTAGATTCTTTGTCTCCTGGGTGTGCTGTCCTGGGGGACTGGACAAGGTTACCTGGCCTGGAGTGGGGGCGCTCTTGGACTACCACAGGGAGCTGGGTGTGGATGAGTCTGGTGACCCCGGCTGTGTGTGGTGTTGCGAGGAGAACTGTGGTCCTCCAGTCCCTGGACTGCTCTGGTATTCGCAGAAGGGGGTGTGTCAGGAGTGTGGGAAACGACTGCCCGCTCAAGTGTGGGAGTCGAGGAGAGGAACAGCCGTACCACAGACTCCTGGCTCTGGGGTCCTGGGCTATCTCTAGGACTTGCCACTTCCTCCTTGTGTAACCCTCTGAACCTCAGTCCCCTTACCTAGACAGGGAAGGGTGTTTAAGTGCTCAGAGAAGGCCTGGAGTTGGGCTGCTGGCGGTCAGTTCCACTCTGGATGAGTCACTTCTGGGCCTCATTTCTTCTTCTGAAGATTGAACATCATAATGGCACAAGGGCATTTTGTCTTTTTTTTTTTAATTTGATTTGATTTATCATTATTACTTTTTAAATTTGCTACAGGACACTTGTGATCATCAGAGAGAGACCAGGGTGGGGTGGGATGGGGTGGTGGGGTGGAGGGTAGGAGTGAGAATGCAAGTGGCCAGGTCTGAGTTGAGGTCAGCCATGTGGCAGCCCGGGGCTGTAACCACCATGCCACCTGCTGGCCCAAGGGCATTATATCTTATTGGGGAGAGGGAGCTCTTTAAGCCCCTTAATCCTCCATGACCAGAGATCTCTTTTCGAGGCCCCGGGCTGCTCCTGGTGCTCCTGGTGCTGGCACTGGCAGGCGCCTGGGAACTAAGACCAGTGCAGAGGGGCCAGTGCATCTCCATGAGGCCTCTGGACCTGAGCTCACTGAATACAAATACAGGGGTCTGCAGGGTTGTTTTTTTTTTTTTTTTTTTTTTTTTTTTTTTTTGAATTATTTTATTTAACTTTATTTAAATTGATCAGAGAGCAAGAGAGAGAGAGAAAGCCAGCCGCCAGGTCCATGCTCTAAGGCTTGTGTGCTTCCCAGAGAGACAGACAGAAAGCAAGAAATCAGTTCCTGGGACCAGCCGTTAGCGTAATGGCTATATTGCTGGACTCCCATGTAGACTGTGGTTTGAGTCCCAGACCTAGCAGCTTAAATTCACAGTGGGTGTGTGTGTGTGCATGCCCAAAGATCCCTAGAGGAGAATGGAGTAGAAGGAATTGCAGCGTTGCCATCACCTGCAGGGTGATTTCTCGCTTTTTGTCTCTCTGTCTTTCTGGAGAGTGCACGAGCCCTATAGCAAAAAATACTCTTAAAAAAAAAAAAAAAGAAATGAAAAGAAAAAAAATCACTTCCTAAGGGGGGTGACCATGTCACAATCCCTTCTCTGTTCTCTTCTTGGGATTTTGGGCACCCACGCACACATGCTTGGTGTGAGTTTAAGCAAACGGATCTGGGACTCAAACTGTGGTTGACTAAGCGGGAGTCTAGAGATGTAACCATTATGCCATTTGCTGGTCCCCATCATTATTACTTTAACTTGACCAGAGAGACAGACAGAGGGAAAGCGCGAAAGCAAGCCTCCAGGTCCAGGACTGGAACCACGTCGACCATGTGGGAGTGAATCCAACACCCCAACCGCCATGTCACCTGATGGCCCCGTTTTTTTTTTTTTTTTTTTGGCAAAATTCACCTAACATTACGTTTGCCATTTTACAGTGATCAGTTCAGGGGCACTTAGCCCATCCAGTGTGGCACAGGCCACCTGATCTAAAACATTGCCATCACTCCAAATGAACTCTTACTATTAAGTAGGTACTACCCATTCTCCCTCCTCTCAGTCCTGGCATGCACCAATCTACTTTCTGATTTTAGCATATTTTAAAAAGTTAATGTAATTACATTGTTTTTGGTTCTGCGGGTTTTGACAAATAGGTAGCGTTGTGTAACCATCCACACAATCAAGACGTGAAGGAGTTCCCTCATGCCCCATGTTTCCACAAAGTGTCCTGCCGCAACCACCCCAACTGTAGCACAACTGCTCTTTTGTTGGCATAGATCTTGCCTTGTCCAGAAATTCCTATAAATGTAGTTACCTAGCATGTAAACTTTTGAGTCAAGTGTCTCTCATTTATCCAGCTAAGTTTACATAAATTAAATGCACCTCTTGGGCGAAGGGCTTAAGCTACGGTTTGGGCGGAGACGCCCCTTCCAAAGTAAGTACAGCGACCCCTTTTGGCCAGGTGTGAGGCTGCAGACCCGATGGGTTCCCTGTAGCTCCCCATAAGGTCAACAGAGGGCGCTGTTGGCTCAGGACGTCCGGCCCCCTGGACGGCGGAGGCTCCGCCTCCTTTCCGTCCCTACAGGACTGCTTAGTTCTTATAGGCCAGAGGGCGGGATGAGGGCGGGGTCGGGAAAAATTTCCCCTCCCTTGCTCTGCCGCCGCGCGCCCTGCTATAACGGGCGGTCCCATCAGAAGGCATCGGAAGTCAGGGCGAGGCTGGGGCCCCGCCCCTTCCCGTAATTGCACCGCCCCCCATCGACGCGCCTGCTCCTGGGGCTTCGGGCCGTGTTCGCGCTCCCGCCAGCATACTTGTAGGCCCCGCCCCTGGCCACGCCCCACGCCGGGCGCTCGCGCTCTCACGCACGCCCCGCGCGCAGACCACGCTGACGCCGCCGCCGTCGTCAGTGTGCGGCTCCCTAAGACCGGGTGGCCGCAGCTGGGGGTGGAGCCCGCTCTCTACACGTGTGGCTTCAGCGGTTCTGGAAGCCGCAGTGGAAAAGTCGGGAGGCAGGTGACACAAGTTTTCTTGTTACGTTTAGCTTCTGACCACAGCTTCTCGGCCCACGTCCATTCAGCCTGTGTGGTGAGCGTGAGCTCGGCACAGCGCGTCCCTTTTCCTCGGCCCCCCGGCCGGGCGGCACGCAGGGCAAGATGGGACTTGAGGCGGCGGGTAGGAGTGAAGGGATCGAACCAGCGTTCAGCGGAGCCTATTTTTTGTTTTTTGTTTTAAGTCGGCTGTGGGGCTCGTGTGCTCGCCGGAGAGACGCGGGGCGGGTAGTGAGAAAGCCTCGGTCTCTTCTCCAACCCCTCTGGGCGTTCTGGGCACGCCCCCCGACGTCTGGCGTAGTTTTCAAGACGCCTGGCGCTGGACTTAAACCGCCAAGTTGGCCGTGTGGGATCCAGCTGCCTTCGCCTCCGTGTCACCTGTTGGCCCCCCTGGTTATTTTTCTGTGCGCTCGCGGGAGAGGGAGAGTGAGAGTGAGAAATCACCCCCACTGGGGAATGGACACTCCGCAAGTCCTCCATTTTCTTCTCCAGATTTTGGGCACTCAGGCATATGCGCCTGGTGTGAGTTTTAAGCCCCCGGGTCTGGGGCTGCGGTTGACTAGTGGGAGTCCAGGGATCTAACCAGCCATTACACTATCTGCTGGTCTCTTATGTGGGTCCAGTTGTGTTACCCCTACCTAACATCTGTTTTCCAGAGCCTTTTTATTGGAGTTCTCTGTAACACACACAGAAGAGCGTGCATAGCTTAAGTGGGCAGCGCCTTACATGATCCCACACTGAATGTACACCTGGGTAACCAGCCCCCCACCAAGCCTCAGAAGGGTCCTATCTTCTTCCTGTCACAAGTGGTTTATTTTTTATTTAGACAGTTTATATTTTGAAATAATTGTAGAGTTGTGTGAGTAGATCTTGTGCACCTGGCACCCAGCAGTACAACATAGAAACCAGATAATTGACACTGGTGCAGTCCACCGGACTTAGATCTTACCAGCTTTGCATGCTTTTACTTCTGTGTGTAGTTCTGGACCTGTGTGCAGTTTATGGTTGCTCTGCATCCTCACCAGCTCTCGGTGTCTCAGGTTAGCATCGCCTATTCGGTTTGATTTGGGAATGGTGGTGGAGTCAGAGGCGGCAAGGATGCAGATACCAGAGTCAGGCCTTGGGGTTTAATAAAACCAATATAACTTATTCTGCCAAAGCTCTCCGGTGAGGTCCCTCAGCCTGCTCCGAAGCCGAGGGAGTCACGCCCAGGGTGGATGCTGCTCATTTTTAAAAGGCCATTGTCCAATGGGTCCTCACTATGGGTCTTTATCTGGCCAATGGAGTTCGTTGTTTTTGTTCAGTTTTGGCAGGTGAGCCAAATGCTGAAGGGCGGGAAAGTCTGTTGGTGATGGCGAGCCAGATGCAGAAAACATGGAAGTTCCTATCGGGAAAAATGTTTCCACCATATTTCTCTTCTCTTCCCCAAGACCTTACATTCCAACCTTAAAAGGATGAGGGGTGATGACGGCTCTGACTGCTTCCGGCTGTTAAGGGGTGTCGATTGGGGCCCTCTAGTCCTTTTTTTTTTTCTTTTTGGAGAGGTTTTTGCTATAGGGCACGTGCGCTTGCCAGAGAGAGACAGAAAGCGAGAAATCATCCCCCCGGCAGGGGTGGGGGTGGTCACACCACAATCCCTTCTCCATTCTCTTGGGAACGCCCACACACGTGCCCGGCGTGTTTAAGCTGCTGGGTCCGAGACTCGGACCGAGGTCGACTACATGGGAGTCCAGTGACATAGCCATTACGCTAACTGCTGGTCCCTCCTCTAGTCCTTTTTAATGAGGGACAGATCTGCAAGGGAAAAAGGAACGTGGACTTTGGGACTAGCAGGTGGCGTGGTGGTTAAGGTGCTGGACACTCCCACATGGCCAA